GATACGAATTGTTGAATATCTCGACGCGATACGAGGATTAATGGGAGGGGGAGGGTTCGATTTTGCGGGGTTGGAATAACATTTACATTCGAAAAGTTTGCACAAGAAAAATGCACCCCCTTTCGAAATGGCGACGCGGCTCGGCTGTGCATAGCTCCCAGAATATACCACGACAGAAATATGTGCTTCGTCTCCTCGGTTCGCTATCGTTTACGCCCTTAACATTTGCAACAGTTCAACTGTGAAAAGTTCTATTTAAAAACTTTACACGCGCTTCTTTCTCCCCTTCTTTTTTTTTTCTTTTTTTTTTCATTACTCTTTTCTTTCATAAATAAATCGTCATCAATGGAGAAGAGGTGGAAAGAGAGAAACAAAGAGAGAAAGAGAAAGAGAGAGAGAGAGAGATGTACACTCGATCGATAGAGAATTAACGTTAAAAACGAATACAACCTGTGACCCAGGCTGTGTCCCAAGTCCTAACAGGACCCACCGCACGCCAATGGATAGTCGTAACTCGTAACCGTGACGAGACTACGAAATAGACTTGTACGTCGTCCTCGTGGTGGTGTACGTCGATTGCATTTCGAATGAGCCTCTAAATGGTAGAACAGTCGATATCCGTGCGGTCTATTGTCATTCAGAGACGGACAACAGGAAATCGTGGCGACTCGTGAAGCGTACTCGTGTCCTTGATTCTTAATAACTTCTAATGCGTCGTATCTTGAATTCCGAATCGTGGAAATTCCCATCAACATCAGCAGATACTACACAGCTGTGCCGTTTTTTTTTCTTCTTCTTTTCCTTCTCCCTCCTATATTTTCCCCAACCGTTTCGAATCTTTTTCCTCTCTCTCTCTCTCTTTCTCCTTTTGTATGAATGTCGACGTTCGAATCGATAAAAAAAAAAAAAAAAGAAAAAAATGGTGTCGCGGTGTGCTTTCAGATCTCACTGGTAGCATTGGGGGCAGAAGCAGAGGCAAGGGAGAACGCGACACAGCGCTTGCTAGAGTTATGTTCCCTCGAGCTGGTAAGCCGCTTTTAATCGATCCTTTTAATCCTCGTACTCGATGGTCAAAGATCGTCGTGTCGAATATACGAAACCAATCCCTGCGACAATACTTTAAACGATTCAGAAAAAAGAAGAAAAAAAGAAAAAAGGAACGTGAGAGTAGAGAGATTCGCGTTACAAAAGATTCTCGCGATACCTTTTTCTTACGTTCGCCTCGGTTTTCAGGTTCCCCCTCCGTGTATAATCCTCGCCTCCTTCAACTTTTCTTTATTATTTTCTTTCAGACAGAATTCTGGGGTTGCGTGAACTCGACGTTAAACGGTAAGAGAGAGTTTTTGGACGACACCTAGGGTCAACTCCTTTCGAACCAAATTATTATTATTAATTATTAATTTCCCTTAATAGAGGTGAAAAGACACGAGAATTGGACAGGGAGACGATGCTGTTACCTGGTGCAGAATCCGATATGTCGATCCACGTGCGCTCTGTCAGGATCCAGGAGAAATCTGAACGAGTCTTGTCGGCCAAGCGACGAACCCGAGTTTTTTTCCTGTCTGGAAAGGCGGGAGGAAGCTGAACATTGTTGCGGCAAAGTGTCCAACGAGACGTGTAGAACCGTGTGCCAAAATCTGTTTTACAAGCGCGAAAAAATTTCGAGTCGGAACGGATGCTTCCACCAAATGCCAAAGTGTTTGAAAAGCGTGACCGAAGTGAAACACGCTGAAAATCCAAAACAACGTGCGTAGAAAAGATAGACATTATCGATCGTTATTATTTTTTTTTTTTTTCTTTTTTCTTTTTACGTAATTTCCAATTCTTCTTGCTCTTTCTTTCCAACCGGGATATCTTTTTCTTCCCGCAACAGATTTGCATTGCTGCAACAAGGCCGACAGTTTAACATGTATGGAAACGTGTAAAAAGATCCTGTACACGGCAACAACCGATCGGGAGATCTTGAACGCGTTAACGGAAAAATGCGGACCGCCAATTTCTCCTCAATCGCCATTTTGGAGCTGTCTAATGAAGTCCGGCTCGCCGAAGCCGGTCCGTCTACCTCTAGATGCGGGCAAATTGTCATGCTGTACCAAAGCAATTAAGCCAAAGTGCCAGGATCTGTGTTGGAGGGCGTTCAAAGCAGACTGGGAATCCTCTTGGCATCCCCTCGACGCCGAATGCCTGTCCTCGAGCCAGGAAGGGGAGCTGAGGCGGTGCCTCGAGGATACGGACGATCCTTGCGAAATGGGCTGCGCGGGATTGTCCTATTGCACGCGATTCAACGACAGGTCGACGACACTCTTTAGGTGAAACGTCTCTCTTGGTTTTGCTTTTGGACCGCGGCCAAGCCATCTTCTCTATCCACCCCATCCGCTATTCTTTCTTTCTTTCTTTCTTTCTTTCTCTTCGTTTTATTCTTTAGGAGTTGTTCGGCCACGACCGACGAAGCGGCTAAATTCGAAGCTCACCACTGGTCCAGAGGTGGGATCATTCGAGGATTGAGCCTCCCCATTCGAGTCGCCGCCACTTGCCCGCCGGAAACTCTGCGCGCGGCCGCGTGTCTTCTGCAACTGAGACCGTGCGAAACGAAAAGCCACGAGACGAGACTTTGCCGGGAGGATTGTCTAGAATTGATGGCAAGTTGCGTGGACTGGTCCGCCATCACGGGCCCCCATACGGCAGCCACGTTGTGCGCGAAGCTCTCGCCGGCCAAATCCGATGCGCCCTGCGTGTCTTTGAAACCGTTCCTGGAAGATCCACAGGACAACGAATCCGTAGTGCGTCTGGAGGAGGATATCACGACCCCTTGTAAAATTAATCCCTGCGCCCAAGGGGAAATCTGTCAGTTGCTCCATTACGGCCGGCAAGCGTACCGTTGCGTACCGGCCTGCTTTCTGGGGAAGATGTCCAAGCAATTGGTGCCCGTTGGATCCTGGGTACAAATTCCGAGTTTCAATCAGGGCAGCCATCAGATCTGCCAGTGCACATCGTACGGTTTAGACAAATGTAAAATATTGAATTACGTTAAATTCAATCCTTGCTCTATACACAATCAGATCATCGCCCACAAGGCCAACTTTTACGTGGAGTGCAACCCCTGCCACTGTTTCGAGGGGGAGTACACGTGTTCGAAGAAGAATTGCGGAGAGATCCCCTCGTTGCCCTGCGACTGCCCGCCGCATTACGTCCCCGTCTGCGGGAAATTGGGCTTCACTTTCGCGTCTGGCTGCCTTGCAACTTGCGCGAGAATGTCCGTGAACGACGTGGAATTCGGCAGTTGCTCGTCTCGGGATCCTTGCGCCTCAAACCCGTGCGACACCACGGAGAAATGCGTGGCGAGAAGCAGGGTATGCTTGTCCGAGCTTCACAAGCCTTGCCGCCAATACGAGTGCGTCCCCCTCGACTGCGATCCTCGGGACGAGGCTGGAGGGCCGGTATGCGACAAAGAAAACCGTCAACACCGATCAGTGTGCGCGATGATACGGGCCGGGGCTACTTTAGGATACAGGGGACATTGTTTGGAAGGATGTACCTTGCGTGGTCCCGTTTGTGGCGCTAACGGGGAAGTTTACGCGAACGAGTGTGCTGCTTGGGCGGAGAGGACGGTGGTGGATTACTTTGGCCCTTGTGCGGCTGTTGGATTGATAGGCGATCAAGCTAAGCCTCGTTGCGGCGATTTAGTACAGTGTCCACGATTGATCGAGCCATATTGCGTCGGAGTGACACCACCAGGCGCTTGTTGTCCAGTCTGCGGTGGGGCAGCTAAGCTATTTTATTCCAAGAAACAGGTATGTTGCGTTTACTTTCTTCTATATTTTTGCAAAAAAAAAAAAAAAAAGAAAAAAGAAAAGGATAAAACGTAGGATTATTATTACATTTTATTGTCTGACTTTTTTTGTTTGTTTGTTTTTTTTTTTGAAGTTGGATAGGATATATTACGTTATGAAGGAGGACATCGATAAAGACACGGTTACGCTCGAGGTCCTGTTGTCAGCCTTGGCCCGACAGATTCAAGTGGCGCAATGTGTTCTTCGAGGCATGATGACACCGGATCGTGACATATTCATCGTTGTACAACCTACATCGAAAAGGCCTTCGAGTCTGCAATTACGGGCTTGTGTGACAGAGACTGAAAAATTAGTTACTAGAATTTTAGAGAGAAGCCCTAAAATCACGGTGGAAGTACCCTTAAGCGCGCTCATCAGGGCGGAAATTGCTCATAGTTACATATCAAGTGCCATGACCATTGGAGGATATGTTGCGCAAATTTTTCTTCCAATTTTTCTCTGCGTTTACGTAATTTTTTAGCAATCGAATCAGAAATGTGAACAGGGATGTCGAGGATATCACCGATCGCGATAAATTAGATTAATGATATTTAATTACCGCAATCAGTGATAATCTTGATTTCGCATTTCTCGAAGTGTGTTGAAGCATTTCTTTTTTTTTTTTTTTTTTTTTTACCTAATGACTTTACCGCTCGCGGTATCGTCGAGTTTCATGACTGTGATTCTTCTAGTGCCTAACGTAATATAACGGAAAAGTAGAGTGTATTTTCGTCTCTTAATATTGCCAAAGAAAAGGGGAGTACGTGGAACATGTACAAAGGCACATAAATTACCCAAATACATTGGTAGTTGAAGGGTGATTAATGTTGCTCGTTGTAAGCTGTAAATAAAGTTAAAAGTCCTAACTTAAGTTACCAAACAAAGTGTCTCATGATTGTTACATTATACATATATTCTCTGCAGATACAATAATCTATTAAAAAGAAAATATATATATATATATATATATGTATAAATAAATATATATATATATATATATCGCGTCAAGCGTTCCAAATTTCATGTCATATCGTGCGTTTGATAGTCAGAATCTCTTAATTGTATAAATCGATAAATTTGGATCGCTTGCAGATACTTTGATAGCTGAATCGATACTCCCATAATTGTTAAGCAAATTTCGCACGTTATTGTATTGTTAAATACAAAGTGTTTTATATAAACATTTGTAAGTTTAATAAATTTCTAATATTTTACTCGTTTACGTTATTCAATGAAAATAATATACTATAGTAGTGCGTAAAATTGCATGTACAACGAAAAACCATTTTTTTTTCCCATTTTTTTCTTTCTTTCTTCTTCTTCTTTTTTTTTTTTTTTTTTTTTTTTCTTATAAAACCTTGTATCTACCACGAGATGCGGTATGAGCGCCAGACGCTTGCAACTTAATTAATTCTTCTTTGATCAGTCGTGAAACTTCTGCTTTGGCCTTGCTAACTGCTAATTCGCTAGTAGACTCGATAGCGAGATACAGTTTCCTCTCGCCTTCGGGTGGTGCTTTACCAGGAGCTATATAAGTACCCCTAACCGTAAGACCTGCTTCAGAATATTCCGAAATCTGTGCAAGAGCTTCCTTGCTCGTAACACGCCATCTAGCCTGCTGTGGGAAGTCGTTAATCTCTAATTCTTCTTCGTATTTACGGAACGTTTGTTCACCAGCCTCTACATCGCTTTCGACGAGATCTTCTTCACGAGGTTGGTAATTCAATTTCGTGTTCAACTTCGCGGCCAATTGTTCGGCAACCGTTTTCGCTGTAATAAGATTGGTGGGGCCAGCACCTTTAAGTATAGCTTCGGCCGCTTGTTGCGTTGCACCCTTTGCCTCAGCTCCCAAATTTTTGGCTATGTTGATCTTGGATGCTAATCGTCTAGCTAATTCTAACTTATCGGTTGCACTTGGCACAGGTTGGCCAGGAACTGCGATATTGGTGGCAGAAGGTCTAGCAATCTCGCGAACCGTCCTTTTTGGTGCCAACATACTCTCTATTTGTTGGTCGATGTCATTCTCTATATCTTCATCGTCCGAGTCTTGTAATCCCAGAGCTGCCTTCTGGAACTTCTTCTTCTCGTTAGCCAAGGCCGCTTCCGATTCGTCAAATTTGAACCCTTTCCCACTAAAGCCACCTCCGGTGTGAACCTTTTTACCGTCCGCTGCCTGTCGGGCTTTATATCCTTCCCAAAGTTGACGTAACGGCTCCGGAACGGGGACACCTGCTAATTCATGAGCGCGCAAAATATCACCCGCATAACGTTCCTGCTCTGACGTGATAAAAGTGTATGCGTATCTATAAATAAAAAAACAATTTTTCACTTTTTTATTGTTTCGACGATACGTACATTCTCTTTACATGGAACAGAAACTTACCCTTTATTTCCAGCTCTTCCTGTTCTTCCACATCTGTGCACATAATCTTCGTAATGATTCGGACAATCGTAATTCACTACAAGTATGAGATGCTTCACATCTAAACCTCTAGCGGCGACCGATGTGGCCACTAATAGCTTCGTTCTACCAGCTTTGAAATCTAATATCGTTGAATCCCTATCGCATTGATCGATACCACCGTGAAGCGACATACAGGAATAAGATGCTTTCATAAGATCTTTCAATAATGTATCCGCATTTTCTTGTTTATCGACAAATATTATTGCGGAACCTTTGTCTTGATAATGACCAAGAATTTCAAGTAATTTGTAAAACTTTTGATCTTCTTCGAGAACTACCACGTGTTGTTCAACATCTTTGCAAACGATAGATCTTCCACCGACTTGAACTTCTACGGGTCTGGTCAAAATTCTTCTTGCTAATGCTTCCATTTGACGAGGGAATGTTGCGCTGAAGAGTACAGTTTGTCGATCGGGTCGAACGTTTTCCATAATTCGCATTACTTGGGGCTCGAAACCCATATCGAACATTCTATCCGCTTCATCAAGAACTACATAAGTTACTCTACGTAAATTTGTTACTCGTCCGCTGTTAGCGGCCAACATATCTATCATTCTGCCTGGCGTACAAACAATTATTTCAGCACCTCTCTTCAGTTCCGCTATCTGTTCCGATATACCAGTGCCGCCATAAACGCAAACGTGAGACAGCCCCAAAGATTTCGTGAATTTTTTCGAATCTCTTCCGATTTGCATGCATAATTCCCTGGTCGGTGTCATTATTAAAGCGATCGGACCATCGCCATCTGCTAATGGTGGTTGATCGAGGATATGCCTGAACATCGGCAATAAAAAGGCTAACGTTTTTCCACTACCTGTCTTTGCTATTCCTATCAAATCACGACCAGACATAATCGCTGGAATAGCTTGACATTGAATAGGAGTTGGTTTTTCATAACCAAGTTTCTTTAGCACCTCTAACTCCTTTTTCGTAACACCGCATTGAGCCCATGACTTAATAGGTTTTGGACAACCTTTGCCTTTCACTCGAATACCTTCTAATTCTTCTTTGTATGCTTCTACTTCTTCCGGTGTCATTCGTGCTAAATATACGAAATATTACGATCATTAAAACAAATATACGCATGTACGAATTATTGATAAAATATAATCGATTTTACCGATTTCAGGTACTTCAACGTAAAACGATTTTCTGAATGGCTGATATTCTGTTGTTGCGTGATCAACTTTGGCTAGTTCGCGCTTTTGTTTATTCGCAATACCAGCTGCAGTTTCATGAAGATTTTCTCCTTCCTCTTCGCTAGAATATTCAAGACCATCTTGATTCTGTTCAATTAATTCTCCTTTTTGTTTTTGCACTTTCTTTTTAGCCACTCCAGTAACAATCACAACTCCGCCACTTTGTGTACCTCCTGTACCTGTACCGTTATTAGCATTCTTCCCGCCTTTATTATCGAGTTTATTCACTTTTCGAACTTCTTCCTGAACCTATACAAAAATTACATTTAATTTCTTGCATATTGATAATATATGTGTATAATATATATATAGGATATGCATACCTCTGCCATAAAGGCATCAAGAGGATCAACTTCTTCCTCATCATCTTTAGCTTCTTCCTTAACCTCTTCCACTTCTTCTTTTGTTTCTCCATCTTCTTTGACTTCCTTGTTACTATTTTGAACAACAGGTGTCTCTTCATCACTGTCATCCTCGAGGGACCACTTTTTCATAGGCAACTGAAGATTTGCTAAAATGGATGCCTTACCGTCTTTCTTAGTTGCCTCCAATTCTTTCTTTTTCCTTTCCGCACGCCACCTCTCTATTCTTTCTCTCCTCTTTTGCATCTCCAGTTCTAATCTTTTCTGTTCTTCTTCCTAACGAACGTGTAATTATAACATAATATTGTAATATTGTAACTAAAGTGTAAATAAAGAGGTTAAACGCATTGTTCTAATTAAATTAATTACTTTGTCCAATTTAGTATGATCAAACGGCAACTCATCGCTGTCACCCTTCTCTTTCTCCTTTCGCTCTCTGGATCTTGATCTATTCGACCGATCTTTGCCTGAACGCGAAGACTTTGAGCCTGTAAGACGCTTTTCTTTACTGTCTCCACTAGTATACCGAGAACAATCAATGTTAACATTATTATTCCATTATCATATAAATTTTTTCGAGAAAAACTAAAAATCAAATATGATAGACTGAAAACCTTTATAGGAAAATTATAACATAAAAAATATTTAACCACATCTTATTCCAATTTTATAAAATCAAAAAATTATGCATATATTCATAATTACCGTTTTCTATCGCGATCTCTATCCCTTTCAGAGCGATCTCTTCTATCCCTATCTCGATCTCTAGAACGACTCCTTCTCTCCCTGTGTCGTCCCTTATCACGTTCCCTATCCCTATCTCTACTCCTAGATCGCCGTCGTTTTTTTTCAGGAGTAGCAGAACGAGATCTTGAACGTGATCTCGATCGTCTTCTATGATGCCTATCCCTACGAAGTAATAGAATTAAATTGCTAAATATTGGATCAATGGGTATCGAATAATTGATATTGATAGAATAATTAATGGTTTCTAATAGCAAAGGTAGTAAAATTAACCTATAAAAAATAGCACAATAAAAGTAATTACACTTACTTGTCACTACTTCGAACCATGATCGACGATGGTACTTAATACGAAGAAAATACTGTTGTGAACTTAATTATTTCTCTTATAAGAACATTTGTCACTACTTTCTCCTAATTTTATCACAAAATATACAACATTTACCGTCGTTTACAAACGCAAATCCAAATTTCTCTTACTCTGTTCGATAGTGCTGCCACTTGATTGGAAACTCGAAGCGAAATATAGTTTTATAGTATGATAATACAGTTTCGGTAATTAACCATTGAAGTTTATATCTAAAATAAATCTATCTTTCGTATAAAACATTAATTAATAATATTAATTATATATTTTTTGGTATTATACTATATAGTATTGCCTCTCATTGATTTATTATTCTAATTTATTCTAATTTATAGTTAAATAAAACTTGCAATATCAAATTAATAAAAATCATTTATACGAATTATATTCATCAATTACCACACATAACTTCTTTTTCTGCACTTTTTGTTTAAAGATTTTTAGAAATATGTTTTCAGCACGAAAACTTAAACTTTAGATCTTTAGAAATAATTTAAAATGTTAATCTAAATGTAATCTAAATGTTTTTCCCGATTAACATGTATTTAGAAGCATGTTTCGAAGTAATTCAGAAAATGGATATTACAGCGCCATCCAGCGACAAGCAGATGGAACTAATCTTCATATGACAAAATAGAAAATTATAAATTTTTTCTATAATTTCTAAAATTTTTTAACTTTTAAGGGCTTAAAATAAAAATCGGACTTGTGAAAATAACTTGAGACTATTCCATCTATCTGATATTCAATCTCTCTTTACCTTATTTTTTAAAGAAATCTCTTCGTCATTCGAGAAATGGCGCTAATGGCCAATTCTTGTCTTATCTTTATCCTTCTTCCACTAATTTCTCGTCTTTTTTTATATTCTTCATTTGCGGCATTCTGAAGATGGCGTTGATTTCCTATTTTTACTTTATTACTGTCCTTCTCTTACTATTTACTCTCTTTGTCTATCCTTATTCCGTAAAATTTACACGATTAAGAGACGACATTGTTCCGATATTTAATTAATTTATCTTCTTTACCCATTGATTAAAAATCTTAACGAACTTTACTCCAACTTTATTCCAATTTTTATACGTTTCATGAATGTAAATACATATTTAAATTATTTAACAATGTATTCTGTTGTTTTTTTTTTTATATATAAAAAAATCTTCCAAAGATCAAATCCTTTCATTTCTAAAGTAAAGAACGGATAAAAATTAGATTAATCCAAATTAAAAATTATTTAACTCGTTAAATCGTACGTACGATCGCGTATGCTAATCGGTCAGAAAACTCGTAAAAGAAGCAGATGGTGAAGACTCGAAGGAAAGTTACTTAAGCAGGTGTAACGTCGAGCACGCGACAGGTGAACGTCGCGCTCGTGTGTTTTTCTCTGTATATTTTAAGGGATGACGCCAGAATTGGAAACGAAAGATCTAGAAACATGAGAGAGAGAGAGAAAAAAAAGAAAAAGAAAAAGAAAAACAACGAGTTGTAACATAACTGAATGGAACAATCGTTATCTATCGGTAATGATAACTGTAAAATACTTGTATGCGATTTCCATTGAATCTTAAATGGAGAAAGACAAACGAGCACAGAATCCGGGATGGATTCACCCCGTATCACAGAGGCGAGCACAGAGGCGTGGAGAAGATGTTGTGCGTGCACGCGATAAAAATGATTCCCGCCTCGTTTGCTTTTTATGCTCGGTGCATATCGCGAGGCATCGGTTTTTCCCAGGACAACGAGATTTCCGATACGCCTCCTCTCTTCTATATAATCTACGTGGAGGACGACGAATAAATTTGCCAATGGAATACAAAGTAGCGTCCCTCCTCTATGGGCTCTCCACTTAGTCGTGCGCCGAGCTTGAACAGCTTCTTCTCTCGAAAAGACGGCGGGGAGGAGGGAGGGAGGAGGGAGGAGAGAAGGGAGAAGGAGAGGGGAGAGGGAGGAGAGGGAGTGTCGTGCGAAACGATTTTCCACGATAAATTTTTATATATTCGACTTTTCGAACAGTAGGGAAAAAATGGGAATATTTGAATAAGGAACGGAACGGAATTCTTTCGTTCATCGAAGAATTCGCGATACATCCTTATAGAAAACGAAAACGTTCCTTTTGGCAGAAATCCCAATCGATCCTCGAATTCCTTACGAACAAAGAAATAATGCAGTCGGCGTTTGGTCGGTCGGCGTCGGTTGCGTGTACACGCGCATCTTTTCGTATAAAGGAATTCTCTCTCTTACAATAATACGATACCTGACCGAGAAATTCCGAGAAAATCGATTCCTTCTTTCGATTTCCTGTTCAATCCTCGATTCGAATCGAAGGTTTGTAAACCGTTTCACTTCGTACGTACGAAGAAAGTACGTACGAAGAAGTAGGAAGAAGAAGAGGAGGAGGAGGAGGAGGAGGAGGAGGAGTCTAACGAAATCTGTCCGAATCCATCTGGCCAAACTGGTTTTCGAGAATTCGATTAATTTGATCGAGTGACGATTCGATTTATTTTACTTTTTTCGGGGGCAATTAGCTAAAATTATTCCCTCCAACGTACACGAAAAACGCGCTCGCGTGTTCGATTTAATCTAAAAGTCAATATTGAAACGGAGGGGAGGGGGAGAGGGCAGATGGGAGCAAGAGGGATAAAAGTTTTTTCCTTTCTTTTTTCCTCGAATATCAATACCGATTGTGATTACCTTCCCCGCTCGTATAAATGTTCGTATCGAATCGACAATGAACGAACGAAGATCGTTCTGTACTCTTCCTTTGTGGAGTATAAAGTGTCAGTCGCAGGAAGTAACTTGATACACTTGACTTCCGACGTGCGCGTGCGACGGACGCTTAGCAAATGATAATGCTTTTTTACACGCTCGTTGATAAATGAGAGTTATTAATTTTCATTGACGTCAAATAATATCTATTCGTCTATTGTTTAATTAAATAAACGGAACGATGAAATTTCCAAGACCAGATATCTCTTCTTAAAATATATATAATATTCTAGATACGAAAGAAACTTAAATACGAAACGTGAAATAAAAATGTTTCGTCTCGAACGGGAAAAATGAATGTTTGAAGTTGGTTCCTTCCAATAAAATATATAAAATATCCTCCCCTCGAAAGCAAAAAAAAAAATATATATGGTGAGCACCACTGTCGAGCAGAAGGGCGCGTGCCAAGAGTTCACATCTGCCGCAGTTGTTTTCGCATCCCCTCGGTCTCTTTCTGGAACACCACCGCTGATAAATGCGTCTCCGGTTTCAGAGAGAGAAAAAAAAAGAAGGCTTCCGCAGGAAGCAGTACCAAAACCTTTCCATCGCGATCTTTTTCCGTTTCCTCCCTCCCGTGACCGTAAAGAAATCGCTCTTCCGACGGAACGAAGCCTCGTGTGTTTATGGAAAGAAAAAAAAAAAAAAAAAAAAAGGAAAGAAATTTCCATAAACTTCAACTATACCGTACGAGTAATATCATTATACTTACAACAACAAATAAGAATAGTAAAAAAACGTAAAAAAAAAAACAAACCTATCTCGACATCTAATTCCATCAATTCCCTCAATATCCCATTCGACGATGAAAAAAAGATTTGGACGATGATTGCCCATTGTCCACGCTGCGTGGTACCGTACTATCCATAAGAATAATAATAGAGATGGAACAATAAAAGAAGAAGCGTTCGAACATGGTGTGACGATTTCCTCTTCCTTTCTCTCTTCGAAAACTCTCTCTCTCTCGTCTCTCCGCACTTTAACTCCTGACATCTGTCCATCTCTCCTTACGCGTCCATCTCTCCCTTTAATATTAAAATTTATCGAAATTTTCATTTCAAATGGATATTTCAAATTAAAACGAAGGAAAAAAGAAAGAAGGAAAAAGAAAGGTTCGATCGAGCTTGGAGTTTAAATTATTCGTTTCGAGAGATAGTGAATTATAAGAGGAGAGGTGGAGGGGAGGGGAGCGGAAAAGTGGTGGTACGGGTCTGAATAAGGGCCCGGGGAAGGGGGACCCCGGCACAGGTAAGCAGCTGCAAGCATCTGCAGGGGCAACAGCAGCCGCGTGCTTAAATTAGTCCCGGCACAACTGTCGTTCGCGTAACACGTAGGGAAGCGGACGCGAGTCCAACACGCAATTTTCGCGTTTTGGGAAGCGATAGAGATACGTAGATACTTGGTCAATTAATATCATTCGTTGATTCGTTAAAGAGGAGTGCGAGTAAAGAAGATTTTTAACGATTTTAAAAGGAAACGTGGATCATCAACCGTGAGAGGAAATTTTTCATTCAGAGAAGAGGAGAGAGAGAGAGAGAGAGAGAGAAAGAGAGAAGTGGTGAGGTTCGATTCCTCCGAGAATTTAATCGTTCTTTTTTTGAAATTTCCCGAATTATGATCGATAATTCGCTTCCATTCGAGGGGTTCTAAGTGAATTCTTTTCCCAACGACAAGGGGACGACTGTATGGGTTGGGAATCGTGGAGAAATTCGTAGAGAAGAAGAATCGTATGAAGTTGACGGAGAGGTGAGCGAGCGAGCGAGCGAGCGAGCGAGCGAAGAGGAAGAAGAAGAGGAAGAAGATGCTGTTGCTCAGGCTGATCGTGGTATCGAGCCTTTGTTGGGTGGCCAGGTGCGATTTATTGGACCTGTACGTCCAACACATGGACGAGGCCATGAAAACTTTGGCCTACAGGAGCAGGCATCATCGTCCAAGAGACGTCAGGATGAGAAGAAGCGTTCGGGAGGAGCAACCGCTTCTTAGAATCGGCACGTTCAAGAAACAAAGGTTGGACGTCGATAAAGATTGGTACGCGCAATGGAAGGCGAAGAGGAAGATCCTCCCTTACAAAGAGGACGGCCTCGACTTTCCCAATTCGAGGGAGGAAAACTTGGACCCGAATCAACACGAGCTGGTCGACGATAATCCTGCTCGAGTCCCCGGCCGAGAATCCGAGGAAACGACGACGACGACGAGCAGGCGTCGATACGCGATCGACAACGAAACGACGGGCGACGAGCTCGACATCGAAGTTTCGAAGGAAGAATCGACGCGGTCCGACACCGCGTTCCCCGACGAACGAATGTCGATCGACAAGGAGGATCGATCGAG